ATTAATGATAATTAAACTGTTAAAATGAAGACTCCAAATGTTGAAGCAAGTGTTATATATAATATTTATAATTGTATATTTTTACTTATATATGTTGTTGTTTTTTCTCTCTTGATTGTTTATATATATATATATATTAATGTATTGAAATCATAGACAATAAACATTCATGTATGTCATTAAAAATTTGAACTATCTATTATTAATTTAAACAGTTTTGTTAAAATGTTTATGAAATCAAATATTATTGGCAATAAATTTTTATTTTTTATTCCTATTTGGGTTTAACAATAATCGAATAAAGATTAGTCGGTAAAATATTAAATAGCTAGATTATATTCAATTCTGTTATTGCATTTTTTTTTTCCTTTCCTGCATGGTAGATTAATCTCAAGTATTGACTAGAAAGCAGCAGAAACTTATAAGTGATCAAATAATCAATTTTTATATAATTAGCTTCAGCTGAAAATTAATCTGAGTTGAATTTTAAACTCATATGGGTCATCACATATCCTTTTCCGGGATTTATTTTAGTGTTATGAAAGAGAAAGCGAAAGAATCAGAAATTCAACAATTCCAATATTCACTGCCTGAGATTAGTTTGATTAATTGAACATAATTAAGCCAACTAATAACATATCAAATTAAGACTCTTAGTAATTAAGAACGTCTGTTTGTTTGCTAGAAACGATGGGAATTGAAAGGATTAAAATAAATAAAAGCAAACACCCGATCAAAATATATGGGAGATAGGTGGTAAAGGTTACATAATTTAGTTCATAAAATTAAAAATCTTGGTTCATGAAATTCGCAAAGAATGTGATGATTCCATATTTACATTTTGTAGTGTATTGTATGTAATCTATTCTTACCATGAAGGGGAGGATAATTTAATTCATTTTTTATTTCTTTAATATATTTCATTCTCATATTTTCTATCAACAAAACAAATCGCTCTAAAGTTGTGATAAGCATGATACAATAATGGTCTTGATTATTGTTACACAGATAAGAAGTGGAGGCAAGGCAAAATAAGGAAGATAACAGATAAAGCATTTGAAAGTCTTAAGAATGAAGAAGAAAAGGCTCAATTGACATTTGAAGATCTCTATATTGCTGTTTTACTGGTTTACAAGTAATTATTAGAAGTGATATATCTCTTTAATTAGCATTAATCAAGTTTAGGATTAATTAGCTCTCACAATTTTGTGTTTTATGTGTTTTAAATGTTGCAGTGATCTCAATAAGCATTTGCCTGGTCCGCACTTTGATCCTCCCTCGAAAGACAGGGTCAAGCAAGTCATGAAGGTACTTAGCGACGTGCTGTTTTCATTTTAAATCCTAATTACTCTGTTTCTCTGCACGCTTTTGACTGGTCTTGTAAATTTTTTTTTTTAAATCCTAGTTACTCTCCGCTGTCTAGCAATTATTGGTAGCACAATGAATGACATCATAATCTTGAACAAAAAATTCTACAAGTTTGAGTATTAATTAAATATTGTGAGGATGTTCAAGTATGAGTAAACATGAACTAATGTAGGAAGTTTTATATTAAATAAAATTAAAGTTAATAACTAATATATAATAATATGAAAAATATTGTCATGAATCTCACATTAGAGAACGCAAAATAAGTGAAATGTATAAGTTCAAGGGACTAATTTTTTAAAAAGAGCTCTTTTTTTAACTTGTGCTTATAATAATGTTGCTTTCATTATTGAGAAGAGAGGTCATTGTTGGGCATCATTGTCCCCATAAGCTTTGAGTGATTTTAAAGATTTGTGGTCTTTTACCATAAATAACTTTTGGTTTTGGTCATTTAGTGTAATTTTCTCAAAAAGCTTTCATTTTTATACATGGCTAGATTTTATTCCATGTGTTTGATGTATCAAGTTCTTCAATAATTAAATTGAGTCAATGAATTATAATGAATGGATTGTTTCAAGTTAAAAAAAAAATCATAAAGATTAGCTTGCTCCAAGCTGAGAAACTACATTATGGAACTAAGTTTTGAATTAACAAAGTTTGAAAATTGAATAGATAATTAAAAAAAATGGAGATTAAAAATTATATATACTTCTTCCAATAACTTCTGATTATAGTTCTTGAGCATTTTTTTCCCCCATAAACTGAGTAATTTCAAAGATTTGTGGTCTTTTAGTATAAATAACACTTGGTTTTGGTCATTTAGCATAAGTTTTCCCAAGAATTTTTTTTAATAAATACATCATCATGGTAATTTTCTTTGATTAAAAACTTCAATTTGCATATCACATAATTACGAACTTGCAGGAATGTGATGTGAATCCTGATGGGAAAATAGACCGTGACGAGTTTTATGAGTTCATAAAAAGAATGACAGGAGACACATTCACAATAATAAGCCAAGGGATGATTGTGACTTTGGTTGTGGCTCCAATGTTGGCGTTTGCAGCAATGAGGGCCATTGAAGGCGTACCTGGTGTTGTTGGCAAAGTCGCAAGAAAGCTTCCAAAATCAGTTTACGTGTCGCTTATCACTATTGCTCTCGTGGCGCTCTGTAATTGGATGCAAAGGATTTCTTATCACAGCTAGTCTTGCCTGCAACTAATATTCTGTGTTTCTACATTAAAAAAAAAAAAAAGTTTCAAATGTAAAGATAAATTTAAAAAGAAAAAATAATAATAAAATCTCTTCAAATTATGTAAATGATATTTCAGTCCCTCAAAATGTCATAATACTAATGAAATCTCTAGGAACTTTTGTGTTATTAAAGAATTAATGTACATGATCAAATTATCCTTAGTTTAGAATTTTAAATGCAAATTTACGAATTACTATTGTATTCTTGAGATTTTAAGAATAAAAATTGTGAATATCTTAGAATAAAACTTGTGAATAGTAATTGATATTTGCAATACTTGAGAAATATCATGATTTTAAATACAAATTTACAAATTACTGTTGAATTCTTGTAATTTCAAGAAGAAAAGTTGTGAATTTTAAAATAAAAATTGTAAATGTTAATTGATATTTGAATTAAAGATAATTTAATTATTTATATTAATTCTTTAATGACAGAAAATTTACTAAAAGTTTTATTGGTATTATAACATTTTAAAAGATTAAAATATTATTTACATAATTTAAAAAGATTTCTTTATTATTTTTTCATTTAAAAATGCATGCAAATTAAAAGAGAGAAATTCGACTGACTGTATTGTGTTTAGCACAAAAGCTAGTCCTCACAGTCTAGTTGTAATAATAATAATAATAATAATAATAATAATAATAACAACCTTGATCCTAAAGGGCTTAATTCTATAGGCTCACGCACCTCGAATTGATGGGGTTTCTCAAGTCCAATGTTTGTTGACAGAGAGCAAAGCCAGGTTTGGAAACCCACAATTCCTTTTTTTTTCTATTTTAATTTTTAATTATGCTAATATGCAATTTAACATACTTGTGATTTTCATATATTAATTAAAAATTAAAATAATCAAGCAATTTAACCATATTATTTTGCAATATCAACAGAATTGACATATTTAATGAGCTTACAAGCTAGCTTGAGCTTGACCTTATTTTTAATGGGCTTAGAACATCTAGGCCTTCAAGCTTTTTAAATTTTTATGCACAAGACCCCAGTTTTCTAAGCTTGTTTTTTAAAAATATAGCGCCTAAAGAGATCTGAGAGGCTTGACTCTCAAGATATGTTTGAGAGTATACTTCCTCCATTTAAAAATATAAAATATTTTTAATTAAATTTTATTTTTAATAAAATAATTACCTACTTTTTAATTAATTTTATTTTTTTATATTTATCCTTATTAAACACCCTATAATAAATATAAAGTCATTATCAATAGAAGCACTTTTGAAAAAAAAAACAATGATTATATTTAAAAAGATTAAAAATGTCTTACATTTTTTAATATTTAACTACTCAAAAAATGCCTTACATTTTTAACGGAGAGAGTATATTAAAAAATTATCATTAATAAAATGAAATGAGATAGAATGAAATGGAATGAAAAATTTTAATTATTTAAGAGTTTTATCAAAAGAATATGTGTTAAAAGTCAAAAATATTAAAAAAATAATTGGTGGGATCCAGTTAAATATTTTATAATAAAGTATTAAAAAATTTAAAATGAACCCCATTAATAAAGAAAATAAATGAAAAAATGGCACGGTAATAAATTTGAAAATCTTAGTAATTGATAGATAAAATTGATCATAAATTGAGTTTAGGGTCATTTTTTATTTTTTATATACACTTCAAAAATAAAATTAACCCTTAACCTATTAAAAAAATAATATAGGACCCACAAGCCATATGTTATAATAAACAAACATTAAAAAATTCATATGTGAGACCCACATAACAATAAGTTAACATTAGGATAACAGAGCAATTATTTTTTAAAATTGAGGGATATAAAATGACCTATAATTAAATTTAAGATTATTTGTAATCCTTCATATGCACTTCAAAAATATTTTTGACCCCTTAACTCAAAGAATGAATAGTTTTATTTAATCATTATCATTATTCAAGAATTATTATAAAATTAATAAATTTATATTAAATATAATTATGTTATTGATATTATGACATCCTATCCTCAACTCTCGAACAGGAGTTAAAAAAATGGGTTTAAAATAATTAAAGATGACTCGAAAGGTGATTCTAAATCATTTTATATTCTTTTAAAAAATTCTCTTAAACAATAGTATAAACTTTTAATTATTTCACCCCATTTTATTACAAAAGGAAAAAAAAAAAAAAAAAACTCGCAAACACTATGTTATTGGCCGGCTTTAAACGTGACCCACTAAGTCTGAATTTGTTTTGACATAGATGCTCGTATCAAGCAGTAGCTCAGGGTAAAGATGGAACCTAACAAAAAGACACCCCTGCTCCATTCTATTTAATTTATTGTGCTTTTGGATTTAAACCATTTTTTATTTATATTTTTTCCCATTGATTTGTCCGATCATTGCGGATCGATGCAATGGGTGGCTTGGCGGAGACGAGACGAGTTTAGATATCTCCAGTTTACAAATTTGGGTCCTTTCGTTCAAGGAACCGATAAATTTTTCTTTTGAAAATATGTACAAATTTGTGATGTGACGGTTCTCCCAATTATAGATCGATTTCACATGATCAGACTGTAAAATATCAGTAAGCCTTGGGTCCTCTTTCTCAGAACCTTCAACTTTTGACCTTATCTTCAACCCTCCAAACCCGAGTTTTTCGTCATGGGGCAAGTCTTGGGCAGGCTTCAGGGTACTTGCTTATCTTCTCAATTCGATTCTTCTTTTTAATCTTTTTGGTTTCGTTTGAAGTCTTTTACAACCACTCTCCCAGACTCAGGGATTCGTGAAGTGTTTTTTTTTTTTTTTTCTCTTTGGATTTTCTCTTTGTTGATTGCTGTTACTCCTATTTGCCGTGGATTCTCCTTCGGTTCTGAGATTTCAGGATCATTGACGGAAGAATAAATGGTTGAAATGAAGTCCTGAAAATTTTTTTATATATAAATAAATGCCTTGGATGTGTAAAGACATGTTAGTGCTTATTAATTACCTGATTCTTGAAGTTTTGTCAGTCCTCTGTTTTGTTCTGCTAATTTATGGTAACTTTCTTTGTGCTGATTGATTAGAAATTACAGATTCAGTTCTGTTTTTGTATTTTTCCTTTTTCTGCATGATGGGTTATGTGCCATAGGGTGTTTAGTATGGAATATTCTGAAGTATTGACTGCAAAGCAACAGAAAGTTACTTTAATCAGAGAACCAAGTTTTATAATTAGTTTCTGCTGAAAATTAATCTGGAGTTTATTTTTAAACTTGCATGTCACATATCCTTTTCCAGCATTTATTTACTGATATAAAAGAGAGAACAAGAGAACCAAACACTGGTTTCATAAGCTATACCATCATTTGATCATTGCACTCCTAATATTCTTTTTCTATTTTAAGTCGAAGATGCTTTACTTTGAAAAAGTTGTGATATGTAATGCCCATGGTTTTGTGACTATGTTGACACTTTACTCAGGTAAGGAGTGGAGGCACAGACAAATAAGGAAGATAACGGATCGAGTTTTTGAACGTCTCATGAATCAAGCAGAAAAGGCTCATTTGACATTTGAAGATCTGTATATTGCTGTTTTACTTGTTTACAAGTAAGACATTTTCGTAATTTTCTTTAGCACTGTTTATGTATCAGATGGCCATACACAAAGTTAACTGAAAAAATGAATACTAACATTAATGAAAAAGAGAGGAAAACACTGATCCACCAGACAAAGAACTGTGCTTATCTAGATGCCCTTTTTATAGACAGGGGCTAGCCCACTAACAACTTTACCAATTGGCTAAGCTTGGCCAAGAGCGAGTCTAATCAAATTATAGCATCTAATCACTTGGGCTACTTAGGAAATTAGACTAATTAACTAATTGTTCTCTCAACAAGTATTCTAGTTTAGTTGACAAAATTCTGTAATACCTTCTAAAGTTGAGCTGTTTGTATGTTGTAGTGATCTCAATAAGTATTTGCCTGGTCCACATTTTGATCCTCCATCAAAAGACAAAGTCAGAGAAGTCATTCAGGTACATTTTCTGTGTGATGCTGCGACAAAACTGTGAGGTATTTTAATTTACATATATGAAAGCACTGCCAAGTGGTACTGGATCTATGTGCTGGGCCTGGTACTCTGTTTTTCAGCCATCTAATGCTCTGTATGTGTTTAAAAAAAATTTCATGACAGGGTGATCCATCTGCTTCGCTCCCCACTTTGACTCCTTCTCTTCACCCTTTCACTTTCAATTTCGCTAAGGTCACCTGAAAGTATCAGTAATTTTATTAAAATGAGTAAAAAAAAAAGGAAAAATAAAAAAGGAATGTCAGGTGTACAATTTAAATAGCGCTGATATCTTAGAAGTTTCAGTTGTATTCTTCTGGGCACCTTTTTTCCTTTTTGATAGGAAATTTGAGGATCCAGAATCTTGGGGTGGGGATAATTTGGTTAAGCATTGTGTGTCTGAGACTGGAGGCACATGTTAGCACATACTGTTTCATGATCTTCTCATGACCTAAAAGCATGATGAATATTGTATATAAGATTTTTGAATCATTATAGCTTAAGTTTTAGATTGTAGTCCCAAAAATCCAGTTGAGGATGACAAATTTGGGGAACTTTACCGTCATTCACAGGTATAATTACATATTCTTTAGTCAACCAGAGCCAGTGATGATATTGTACTTTTGATGACTGAACTTATTCATCTCTTTGGCCTTTTAAGTTAGGTAATTACCTTGTAAGGATTCATATGTTCAAATAAATATTTTAGGATACATCCAGCTTTGAGTTTATCTGAGCGAGGAAGTTATTTATTTTTAAAGACTGATAGAAAGAGGTAGCACATAAGGGCTTCGCTAGGAAGAAGTAAAATTCTGTCTTGTAAAGGAAATCAAAGCTACTGAAATTTTCTTAATTTAGTGAAATTGTTGGCCATTCTAAAAGGAATGGAAGGCCCTTTTTAGACATGCTTTGTTTTACCTGTGTGAGGCCTAGGGCATTAGGCTTGTAAATCAGTATTTTTTGAGATTGCATAAAATATCAGTTTCTTTCCTTCTCTCACTATCTTTTCTTTCCCATACTGCTTCTACATTAAAAATCATTATCTTTCAAAAGCCTGTTTGTTTAGAAGCTAAAATGTCCCAGAATGTGAGAAGAGTAGACCATTCTGTTAGGAAAAAGGGTTCACTTTTTTTTTTCCTTTTTTTTTTTTTGGGTCAAGCTCAACAGAAAGGGAATATCTTGTGATGAAATTAATCATGTTAAAGGCATCTAGAATTCAGACTTCTAATGCAAAGATGATTGAATCTAGCTAAGAAGGTCACTACTACAATAAACACAAATCTAATTATAGAAACACCCAATATTACTCTTGGAGCAGAACGTATCCAAACTTGAAATTGAAGTGACTGAGGTTTGTCTGAAATATAGTGCTTCTTGTCAGCTTTAAAGTGATTTACTGTTCATTAAATTTGGCATTCTTATCAGTTTTTCTTGTCAATTTGAAGCTGACTAGAAATATAATGTCATCTTTTCTTAATTTAGTTCATATTGATATACTGATGTGAGGCTTTTCTCACTTCAAGAGTGATGCAAATGCTTCCTTGTCTGATTTTTTTTAATCGAGTAACAAAACCAGATTGGTCACATATGCCCTGTCATGATAGCTCCTAACCTATTTTTTTTCTCAACTACATTTTCAATGCAAAGAGATGAGTGATAAATAATACAATACATCCAAATTTGGTTATGCAAATGCTTTTCTGATGAGGCTTTCAAGTGTCAATGGCTTCAGTTACAATTAGAAGCTTTCCTTATACATGATAATCATCTGCAAGTAATCAAAGAACTTCATGTCATGTCATGTCATTTCATAACAACTTGCAGGAATGTGATATCAATCTTGATGGGGCAATAGACTGTGAGGAGTTCTACATATTCATTAAGCGGATGACCGGGGACACATTCACGGTCGTAAGTCAAGGGCTTATCATCACTTTGGTTGTAGCACCAGCAGTTGCAGTAGCAACAAAGAGGTCTACTGAAGGTGTCCCAGGTGTTGGGAAGGTAGTGCAAAGGCTACCAAATGCAGTTTATGCATCCCTTGTGACTCTTGCAATTGTGGGATTCCAAAATTTAGGACAACAGTCTGTGTAGTGGCCATTGCTCATGATCATGAATTGTGTGCAAAAGGATTTCTTATGAGAACTAAAACTCTGGGTAAAATTTTTCAAGTGTTTGTTGTCAAGTTCTTGGATAAAAAAAACTGATTTTTCTGAAAGAACTTGTTGGCAGATGCTTAAAAATTGTTCTCAAGATTTGTTCGTTATCATAAAATGTTTGTTTAGTGCCATGTAAGTATTGGTTGTAGTTGGCAGTTTGGACAAAAGACCATGCATGTGTGATAAATTGTCTTGTGAGAAATTGTTAATGATATTATTGTCCTTTACTGTTCCGTGATATTTCTTACTCCCTCTGTTTCTAAATATAAAAAAAAATTATATTACACAGTTTAAAAAAATTAATTTATTATAATAATTATGTTTGAAAATAAAAAAATTAAACTAAAATACCCATATTAATTAACATAAATATGTATTAATTATTTTTTATTAATGTAGATTATGAGGGACGATTTCAAAAATGTATAATAAATGTTTATTAAAATATGTGATTTTATTTATATAAAAAAATAAATAAAAGCGGTAATTTTTTTTATATAAATAAAAAGGGAGGGAGTATTTATATTGCTTCTCTTTCCTTTACTTTTCCTTAATCGGTTTTACTGAATTCCGTTGTAACACTGGTCAAAAACAAAAGTAGAATTCCGTGGTAAGGATGATCTCTCTCTCTCTCTCTCTCTCTCTCTCTCTCTCTCTCTCTCTCTCGCTCTCTCGCGCTCGCTCGTGTGTGAGCAATTAATAACTTTTTAACATTATTCATTATTAATAAAAATATATACAATAATTATTGAGGTACTTTATGAATAGAATTAAAATAAATATTCTCTCTATCTTATAAATAAAACATATTATGCTTGGATGTATAAAAATTTGAATTTAAATTTGAATCAAGTCTTTTATTTAGATATATAAAATTTTATGTATTTGGATTTATTTTAAATATAAATTCATATTTTGGTATATTTTTTTTTTATTTCAAATTCCTTTTAGACTTTTGTTATTTGTAATTTTAGCTGCTTTTAAACCTTTTGCTTGTTTTCATTATCAGTGCCTCTATTACTTGATGAAGCACTTCAAATTGCTTCATGTATTCATATTGGCATTGCATTTGATACCAATACTAGCTGATACTTCTTCAATACGTATCAATAAAGTATTAGATAATTTTTTTAAAAAAATAATTTTCAATATATATTCGACATTTCTAAATTACTAGCCAAAACTTCAAGGTTATTTTTCAAAAATTAAATTTTATTAAATATTATGATATTAATCTTTTCATTCCTAACATATGATATTATGATAAAAAGATAAAGATTATATTTTCCTAACTATAAGAAGTGGGAATGTTATTTTTTTGCATATAAACCTTAAGCAAGGACTAGGTACACGGCAATTAGGCATATAAATAAAATAAAAGTATAATTAATGATTATATTTTATTTGATATTACTATAAAGAACAATATAAGTATACTAGTTTAGATTTTTTTTAATTGACTTTATATTCTAAATATTTTTATGTATTTTTTATAAATATGTGTGTGCGCTCGGATATCAAGTTATCATATCAGATCCACGTATTATATGTGTGTAACATAGATCTCACCTCTCCTCTAATGTCTCGTTCTCGTCTTTTACCAGTTAAAAAACAAGATAAATTTGTTGCTCCCAATCTTTTGTTTCTTCTTTGAAACACAGCTTGTCTTTCTTTTACCTTCAAAATTTTTTTACACTGTCTCAACAAAAGATTTTAAATATACGCATTTTTAATGTGAGATTCTAAATTTATAATTTAAATTTAAATTCATCAATCCAAACACTACTTTAAATTATTTTATGATATTTGCATTTAATTATTAAGGATTCTATCATATTTTATGATACTTGCATTTGATCCTTATACTTTTAATTCCATTATAACTCAATTCTTAAACTTTAACTTGGTATAACTTAATCTTTATAACTTTATTTTTTATAATTTTATTTTCTAAAATATAGGGACAACATTTTAAATAGATAAAATTATCAGGATTGAGTTGTATTAAGTTAAAGTTTAAAAACTCAATTAAAACTATATAGATCAAATAATTATTTTTTTAAATTGAATAAATATTGATATTGAGTTCTCTTTTAAGACTATTGGTTCTCTTTTTCACCCTCTTTGAAAGATCTTTTGCCTTGACTGCACAAGAAGTTAAGAATTGTTACTTTTAAAAGCTATGTACATTTCGTGGTGGCTTTAAGGACTTGTCTTTCGTCAACTTTCTCACTTGACTTCAAACGTTCACAAAATTATACGTCATTTAAGTTTAGTAAGATGATGATAAGTGATGACATGATGTAATCAATTTATAATTAATTTTTTCAAATTTATAACACAAAATTATATTACATTTAAAATTATTTAATTATAACTTCTTTATGATTTCAAATTCTTTTTATATCTTAATTATTTAAAATTTTAACTACTTTAACCCTTTCATTTTTTGGACATTTTCATTATTAGTGCCTCTCTTACTCTATGAAGCACTTCAAATTGCCTCATGTATTTGTATTGGTATTGTGTCTAATATCAATACTAACTGATACTTTTTGATATGTATTCATAAAGCATCAAATGATTTTGAAAAATTATTTTCAATACATATCCAATACTTCTAAAATTATGAGCCAAAACTTCAAGGTCATTTTTAAGAAATCAATTTTATCTTTAATTTTTTTTCTTACATTATCTCAATAAAGGATTTTAAATATACAGAGTTTAAATGTGAGATTACAAATCTAAATTCAAATCCATCATCCAAATGCTACATTAAATTATTCTACCATATTTGCATTTAGTTATTAAGGATTCTATAAGATTTGTATCACTTTTTAAGCTTAGGGTATAATAATGCTTCATGATAAATTGAAGGAAAAATTAATTATTTAGTCTCTATACTTTAAATTTTATTATAACTTAGTTTCTAAACTTTAACTCAATATAACTTAGTTATTATAACTTTATTTTTTATAATTGTATTTTCATAAATATAGGGACAACATTTTAAATAAATAAAATCATTGGGACAAAATTGTATCGATTAAAGTTTAGAGATAAGTTTTAATTTAGTTAAAATTATAAGGATTAAATAATTAATTTTTTTAAATTGTAAAGATTGATATTGAGTTCTCCTTTTGAGATTATCATTGGCTCCTCTTTTTCATCCTCTTTGAAAGATCTTTTATCTTGACTAGATAACAAGTTAATAATTGTTACTTTTAAAGGCCATGTACATTTCATGGTGGCTTCAAGGACTTGTCTTTCGTCAACTTTTTCACTTGGACTCCAAACATTCACAAAATTATACGTCATTCAAGTTTAGTAAGATGATGACAAGTGACGAGATGATGTAATCAATTTACTCAATTTACAATTAATTTTGTCAAATTTATAACTAAAAATTATATTACATTTAAAATTATTTTTATAAATTACAACACATATTATAGTTTTTAAGATTCATATATAACTCAATTATGCTTATAACCCCCGTTTCAAGTTTTATAATCGTGTTATATTGTCGAGTAAATGGAAGCACTGTTATTTGTTTTTTTTTTTATTTTAATAATTAAGAACCTTGAAACTTATATATACATCATTTTGAAAACTTATTCTTTATAAGGAACTAGCAAATGCTATTTTCCCTTGAACTCCCTTTTTCTTTTTTATCTAAGTCACTTTCTTTTGGTTTTTATAACATTTGATATACAATTTCAAAAATACTCTCCAACAAATTATAGAAAGAAGTGCAGTAATTCAATTTTCAAGAAAACACTCCTCGTATATGAAATAACTCTTTTTTAAATTCAAGAAAAAAAATTAAAAAATAATGTATATTTAAGATAATTTTATTATTCTAACTAAATTACTTTAATTTTGGTGAGAGTTAGTCAAAAAGCTACATTGCATCAAGGTTTGTCTCACTTGGCTTCAAAATTTCATAAAATGACGTCACTTAATTTTAATAAGATGATGTCAAGTGGGATGGACTCGGGGGTATATTTTGCTTTTTTGAGAAATAAAAATTGTATATTATCAAAATATATAACTTATTATACACTTAGCATGTAGTATATATTTTTAAAATATAATTAAATTTAATGATAATATGGTTGGTTTTTGCTTGTGTAGAAGTAAGATGGCTATATGCATTGCAAACTTATTAAAAGACAAGCTAGAAATGATCTGGAATTAATCACCGAAGAATAGACGATACCACTAGTTACAAAGTTTAAATACATGGGATCGATTCTACAAAATATGGTGAAACTGATTATAATTAATGTTATGCATAAAATACAAGCAGGGTGGATGAAATGTAAGAAAGTATCAGATGTTCTTTGTGATTGCGAAGTCCTTGAAAATCTTAAACAAAATTTTATATAACCATTATATAAAGCCAAGAATCTTGTATGGCAGTGAACATGATGAGAATCTTCTATGGCAGGGAACATGGGGCGTTGAAGAGACAACATGAGCGTAAAATGGGGGTTATAGAGATAACGATATAGAGATGGATATGTGATCATATAATAAATAAGATCGAAAAATTTTAGTTACAGATTAGAGAAGAGACTTAATTTATGGTAGTATTCAAAAATTTTTAAAATTTCAGTTAAATCCAAAGAAAAAAAGTTAAAATAATTTCAACGGTGAAAAGATTAAAATAAACTTCACTTATTATACAGAATTACTAATAATTTTTTTACTTCACTTGTTAATTTATTAATATTACTTGTAAATTGCATCTCTTTGTCAGACAATCAGTAACATCAATTATTAATTTGCTAACTTTACTTATTAATTTATTAACATCAATTATAAATTACAAGATCTGTTAGTAATTTACAATTGATATTAATAAATTAACAAGTAAAATTAGTAATTTAACAATTGATGTTACTGTTTATGATTGAACAATTGATGTCAAGTTTTATATAAGTATTAACATGTCAACTCATGTAATTTACAACTCATTAATAAATTAACAAGCAAAGTAAAAAAATTAATAAATAGTAATTTTACATAACAAATAAAGGGTATTTTAATTTTTTTACTATTGAAATTATTTTAACTTTTCTTCCCCAAACTAGACTATAATTTTAAAATTTTTTGAGACTTAGTAATAAGTAAGTCTCTTATACAATTCTTAATTGAAATTCTCTCAAATAAGATACATAATGATCATGTAATTAGAAGACAAAAGTTGATGTGACATTTCATCAAA